AAAAAAAAACACGTGGAGGTCGGGGGGAAAGGATTGTTAATGCGGATTACCACTCCCATTGCTAACAATATACCCTAACAGGTCGACCTCCCCGTGGTCCCGTCTGGAAACCAACATGCTGAATTCCAAGTGATCACGATGGACTAACTGACCTGCCTTTTCATTCTCACCTACCATCCCTCACTGGTGCTCCGCTGGTGTATACTGATAACGCAGGCGGTGTTACCATTCTATTATCATCCTTAAAAAAAAACCATATTGCTGGCAATGGGACTGCTAATCTCCATTACTTGCACCTTGGGAGCGTATTGGTGAAATAGATTCTATGTGTTAGTCAATTATCGAATTGTTTCAACCGACTTCAAAAAAGGATGTTCTCAATTAATTGTATGTTTTTTTTATGTTTGTCACCTCATAACTCCGTCAGTTGTGAACCGATTTGGAAAATTCTTCATTCATCTGACAGGATATAACTCACAGATTGGTTGCATAGTGATTTTATCAAAATCGATTCAAAAATTTAGTTTTTAAATCAAAATAACAGATTTTGCCACTTTTTTTGCAGAACTTAGTCTAATTATAAAATATTAATGTCCAATATATGATATCCTAATGTAAAAAATAGAAAACAAGTAACTAAAGATTTTTATTTCACAGTATAAAAATGTATTTTGTTTTGAAAACGAAACGACTGAATCGATTTTGATAAAATTTCCAAGCAAACTGAAAATATATCCTTTCAGATAAAAAAAAGAACACAAAAAAAATTATAACCGAATTGAACACCTCCCTCTTTTTTGAAGTCGGTTAAAATAGATAAATAGATAGATACTCTGTCGTTTCCTCCATAAGATTACAATAAATTAAAATAAAACATTACAATATTGTGATTGTATTAAATTTTAAATGAATTTTCACTAAAAAAAAATTTTCGAATCGTCTCAACCCTGGAATCGTACCCGCACCAACAACACCGCCGGGAGTCGGGTGGCCATGTATGTCTTTGTCTCATATTTTTTTACCCAATAGCGCACAATAGCGGACGGGGCCACCCGCGCATACAGTTATACCCATAAAACTTGGCCTATAGTTTTAATGCTGCGTCGTTGACTTATGATTTAGGGTTCCGTATGTAAAATAAACGAACCCTTTACGTATTAATTAAAATAATTTAAAAAAGCAGAGGGTTCTCAACATTATTCATCATCCCAATTATTATTTGGGGTCCGCGTAATATGGTTTTATCCATATTACGAAATGATTTGGCTTATAGTTTTACGACCGGCCGCCTGCCTGACGTCAATCTAACGCTCTTTAAGAATGCATTTGTTGGTGGTTGTCGCTACCTACGATTTGAAGGAAAGGATTTAGGAAAAAAGGAAGGGACCAGAGGGAGAGTTTGTACAAAAGTCGATTGCTTGGATACCTCTGTCCCATTCGTGTTTCAACCGTGAAGCAGTTGTGTTTGCATGGCTGTGTTTCGGTTTGAAGGGCGATGGATGATATGGCGTGAATTTACTGGGTACAGAGGAATTACACCTGAGTCCTCAGGAATGGCAACGCATGGGGGGTATCATGGGCGAAACAGTATACTCTGTTATGTCCATGGCACTGCTCATGTCTATAGGCGACGGTTACCACTTTCCATCAGGTGGGCCGTCAGCTTGTTTGCCATTCTAAGTTGTATAAAAAAAAACACTATTACACATTTAAGAATTATTTTGTCATAACTTTTGTAATGATGATGCACGTCAGTAATGACAAAATGTGTGAAACTAATGTAATATTGCCATAACGAAACTTGGTACAATTATTCTTCATACTCTTGGGCAGGTTATAGTATACTTTTCATCACGCTACGATCAATAAGAGTAAAAGTAGTGAAAGGAAATGTTGGGAAAACGGGAGAAGTTACTCCATTTTTACGCTTCCGTCACGTGCGCAGCTTTAATGGCCACTTTTTAAAATATAAAAATGTCCACCCGTACGAAGCCGGGACGGGTCACTAGTTATACATATATTCCGGCTACTATGGAATAACAATTTGAACTACATAAGGATGTCTTTATTTTTTTTTTAATGGGTGAAAATGGAATGGTAAACCCCGCCTGCGCTATTGATATACGCTGGCGGGGCACCAGTGATAGATGATTAGTGAGGATGAAGGCAGGTCAGTTGGCCCATCATGAAGTGTTCAACAAGAATTAACCATGATGGTTTCCAGGAGAGACCGCGTGGAGGTCGGCCTGATAGGATATATTGCTAACAATAGGGCTATTAGAACCCATTACTAACAATCGCTTTCCCGCCAGGATGTCTTTATTGTTGGTAATACTAATTTGTTACAATGAATTCTAGTGTATATATCATATTATACCTATGAAATAACTTATGTTCAACAGTGGACAGTGAACTGCTAATAAAAATGATTTAAACGGAACCCAAATAAAAGGAAAATATTTCACCACTCATCCCTAACATTCAAGGACTGAACCCGGGACTTCTGCATCAATGAAGCAGAACAGATGTGCGATGGGATACAGAGATAAACAGATTAACAACTTTGTTATTTTATATATACGTATAGTATTATGGTATCTCTTATCTGTCCATTACTATTGTATAGTATATTCGAAACAAAATTTTTGTTTATCCTTGCATAGTGATTGTTACTGCATAATCACCAGAGGGAGACTTTGTACAAAAATCGATTGCTTGGGTACCTCTGTCCCATTCGTGTTTCTACCGTGAAGCAGTTGTGTTTGCATGACTGTGTTTCGGTTTGAAGGGTGGGATATGGCGTGAATTTACTGGGTACAGAGGAATAACACCTGAGTCCTCAGGAATGGCAACGCATGGGGGGTATCATGAGCGAAACAGTATACTCTGTTATGTTCATAGTACTGCTCATGTCTATAGGCGACGGTTACCACTTTCCATCAGGTGGACCGCCAGCTTGTTTGCCATTCTAAGTTGAATAAAAAAAAATGCCCAAATAGTGATTTTGGTATAGTAATTCGAAGAGTTCGTCAGTTCGACTCTGGTAGGCGTTAAAAAAAAATTGAATAAACCCAGCAACATTTAATTGCGTTGCCAACAAACAAAACATGTTGTTTATATGTTTGTTTGCCAACAAAATTATATTAAAAAATAATCATACATCATTTATCATTATAATGTATTTTTTATACAACTTAGAATGGCAAACAAGCTGACGGCCCACCTGATGGAAAGTGGTAACCGTCGCCTATAGACATGAGCAGTACCGTGGACATAACAGAGTATACTGTTTCGCCCATGATACCCCCATGCGTTGCCGTTCCTGAGGACTCAGGTGTTATTCCTCTATACACTGTAAATTCACGCCATATCCCACCCTTCAAACCGAAACACAGCCATGCAAACACAGCTGCTTCACGGTAGAAACACGAATGGAACAGAGGTGGCCAAGCAAACGACTTTTGTACAAAGTCTCCCTCCACATAAAGTGCTGCGGCGTCACTTCCTCACTGCGACAAAATCTGCAAACGCTTTTTTGAGCATAAGCCTAGTTGGGCCATATGCTTGTTTAATTTGCAGAGTCTAGTGAGAACTTTTCTTAATACACACATTATTTTCACAATGTTTGCAGCGGCATAGACAGATGACTTCTATGCCATCAGACGCAAATGGATTGCATCTCTTTTATACCGACTGCGTGACAGCAGTGACAGCATTCTGTGGGCATTGTGTAATAAATACGATAAGCCCGATCCTCTCATTGTGGGTCCAAATTATTATAAGGGCCGTAAAATGAATTTTGTATTTTTTTTTCTACTAACGTAGTTTAGGTCAATTGTTACTAACAAAATGGATCTTTGTAATCTATAATAAGGAAAATATTATTATTATTTTTTAAATTTTACTAAAATTCTCATCTCCCCTTTTAAGGAGAGGAGATGGCAACTAACCCCCGGCAGAAGCACAGTCGGCCGGGCTTCAGGGCCCCACGGAGAGAAACCGGCGTACAATGCGGGCAGAATCTAAGAGCACCACTTTCTGCATCTCTCCCGGGAGTGAGCCGCCTCGGAATCCCAACCGTCTAAGATGTTGTTCCAGACTGGTTGGGATTAGACCGTTCACCGACAAAACGATTGGAATGATTTCGGTAGATGTCATCCCACACATTTCGGTCACCTCGTGAGCCAGGTCGAGATATTTTCTCTTTTTCTCGGTTATTATATTATTATTATTATTACTCAAAAGAATTAATTTCTTAGAGTAATTTCCGAAAATCCCTTAATCAGGACTTTTGAGTGATTTACTCATAATCCTGGCAACAGGAGCCAGCTATTATTTGCTGCGTCTAAGTTTTCAAGTTTAAAACGTGTCATTTAATGAATGTAATTTCTTAAATAAAAAAAAAGTCTGTACGGAACCGGGGGAACATTCGAACGCGCTTTCTTCACTGCCGAGTGTAACTTTAGAGTCTGTATTGACGTGCATATCACGGTACCTACGCGACACTTGATATTATGACAAACAATCAATATTATTGCTGTGTTCGATAATAAATAATTTGTCAACGATACCATTATATTTAGGTAGAGTTTTGTTCGGACGAATCAATATATTTATAAAAAAAAACCATTTATAATCGTGACCGTATGGTCCCGGCATAGAATGGTCCACTCCTTATTTCCCGTATATCGTAAGAGACGACTAGGGAACTTTATGGTCGAGAGATGAGAAACAGCGTCTCTCTTAAAATAAGTAAAGTCGATACGTGTGTTAAAAGAATCATCAAAATCACCAGATAAAGTCCCAAAGAATTGATATATTTTAAAAATATATCAAATAATTTACAATGAATTGAATAACAATTGTGTCCAAAGTCGGAATTCATCATTCCATCAGCCGTTAGTTGACCACTGCGAAAGTGAAGTTGTTGCCACGTTTGGTAGGCGAGTTGACAGCCGCAATTGCCAGGAACATAAACACAATACATAAGAAAAACTCACCTATCCTTATGTTCCGCTTGTCTGTCCCTCTGTCTTCTGTTTTTGAACCAATTTGAAACCTGTGGAATAACATTACTTTAATGAGCGTAGAAGAAAAAAAATAGCAATAAATATGACCCATCGTGACAAATTTATTTAGAATTAACCACGACGGCTTCCAGGGGAGACCGCGTGGAGGTCGATCTGTCAAGTATAGCTAGCAATGGAGCTGCTAGTTCCCGTTACCATCAATCCACCCCTCCCCAAAAACGTTACGTACGTACAAGAAGGTACGTATCTTACATTAGGTGACTCGGTTTTTTTATCAGTGTTTTACATACGCATAAATGTATACGTCAAGACGTATCTACATATATTTAGATATTAAATAAATAAAATTAGTTTTTACACATTAAAGAGACGCAAAAATTATAAAACAAAATAAATATGAAAGTTATAAAGGAAACACTTCTAACTACTCATATTTATCACGCAAAATTGTATGAAAAAGTTGAGCCGCTTCTCTCAAAGCATTTGTATGGAGACACTCTATCTATAGAATCTAAGGTACGTACGTAGTATACAAGTATTAGTAGATCTCGAATACTGTAAATGTCAATTGATGAGGGTGAAAGGTCGATGGACCGTTTGTAAGGTCGAAAGGTCCGAATTTGTCGTCAAAAAGTATTAGAAATTAAAAGGCAAATTTGTCGTCAAAATTATGTATGTCCGTCTTCTTATCGGTTTTTTTTCTAAGTCCTTTTCTTTTGTCCCAAGCTGTCAGTTTTAATTGTAGAATGTCTTAGTGGCCAGCGATAAAACCGGTCAAAGAGGCCGCAACAGAGGGAAAAAATCGTTAGTGATGGAGACTAGCAGCCCCAATGCTATCAGGCCGAGCACCACTCGGCCCTGCCAGGAAACCATCGTGGTGAATTTTTGTACAATACATCACGACTGACTAACTGAGCCGCTTTCATCTTCACATATCATCATCACCCTTTGGGGGAGTAAGAGTGGATTTTTTTAAAAAAAAATTAATGGTAACCTCGCCTGCACTATCGGTATGCACCGTGAAGCAGTTGTGTTTGCATGGCTGTGTTTCAATTTGAAGGGTGGGATATGGCGTGAATTTACAGGGTACAGAGGAATAACACCTGAGTCCTCAGGAATGGCATAGCATGGGGGATATCATGGGCGAAACAGTATACTCTGTTATGTCCATGGTACTGCTCTATAGTCTATAGGCGACGGTTACCACTTTCCATCAGCTGGGCCGTCAGCTTGTTTGCCATTCTAAGTTGCATAAAAAAAAAGGTGTCAGCACGGCCGGTCGCCGTTGGAGCAAGTCTCGCGGTGACAGTAACTCTACACCGCTCACCGCCGCCTCAACTCTAATATTATATTTCAGACCATTCCACCGGGCGGCGACCAAATGGTCACTATATACAGATGCGTATGTCAGTCTCGTCGTGTGTAATCCATACATTTACAACTATTAAGAGAAGTGTGGACTGAAAGAAAATGTAGTAACAAAGGAATTGTTTGAAAACAGTGAAATTATCTCTACAGTCATTTTTATGCAACTTAGAATGGCAAACAAGCTGACGGCCTACCTGATGGAAAGTGGTAACCGTCGCCTATAGACATGAGCAGTACCATGCACATAACAGAGTATACTGTTTCGCCCATGATACCCCCCATGCGTTGCCATTCCTGAGGACTCAGGTGTTATTCCTCTATACCGTGTAAATTCACGCCATATCCCACCCTTCAAATGGAAACACAGCCATGCAAACACAACTGCTTCACGGTTGAAACACGAATGGGACAGAGGTAACCAAGCAATCGACTTTTGTACAAAGTCTCCCTCTGGTAAAGTGTGAACTGAAAGAAGATGTAGTGACAAAGGAATTGTTTGAAAACTTTGAAATGATGAAATGAATCTACAGTCATGATAAAAGATCATGGCATCACTCGCCATCGATAGGAAATTCATCCTCACACGCTTGAACCTAAATGGTCACGTAAAGGGGGAGGGATTGTTAGTAATGTAGACTACCAGTCCCATTGCTAACAATATACCATGTCAGGTCGACCTCCACGTGGTCCACCATGGAAACCATCGTGCTGAATCCCAGGTGTATTCATCACGATGGGCTAACTGGCCTGCCTATTCATTCTCACCTATCATCCCTCACTGGTGCCCCGCCGGCGTATACCGATAGCGCAGGCGGGGTTACAATTCTATTATCATTCATTAAAAAAAATCGTCATGTACAGTGCGGTTTCAGAGAAACTTTCTCCTGTGAACGCTCAGGCTGTGGAATGAGCTCCCTGCCCATATTTTCCCTAAAAATTATAGTACAATGTTTTTAAAAAGGGTATACTAAGGTTTCTTCAGGGTCAAGGCGAACTATCAGTCCAATTGCTAGCAGTGTACCCAGTCTGGTAGACCTCCACGTGTTCCCCCTGGAAACCATCATGCTAAATTTCAAATGTCGTAATGGGCTTTTTTATCCTCACCTATCATCCCTCACTGGTGCCTCGCCAGGGTATACCGATAGCTTAGGCTGGGGTTACTATTCCATTAACATAAATATATAAAAAAATAATATTATTGAACCTCAGCAAACCATCTATGGCCGAGGGGAAAGGGATTGTTAGTAATGGAGACTGAGAATCCCATTGCTAGCAATATACTCAACCAGGTCGACCTCCTCGCGGTTCTCCCTGGAAACTATCATGGTTAATTCCTGATGAATTCATCATGATGGGCTAACTGGCCTGTTTTCATTCTCATCTATCATCCTTCACTGGTGCTCCGCCAGCGTATCCCGTTAGCGCAGGCGGGGTTACCATACAATTTTCACCCATCAAAAAAAAACCATCTATGGCCGAATCAGTTATTCGTTTGTTTACATTTTTATTCATTTCTACAGAATCAGACTTCATAACTACCTGTACAGTGGTGAGACCAGTTGTCTCAGCCAATTCCCGCTTCTCCCTCGGCGACGGGTATGGATTATGAAGGTACCAATCCCGGAGAACCGACCTGGACTTCTCCTGGGAAACCAAAATTGTATAATTTAAATAAAAACATTTTTGAAAATATCTTTAATACGTAACCCTGCATTCTGGAATCTTAATTTATTAATAGGTAGAAAAAAACATCTTACGACAAATTGATTTGTTTTTGAAAAAAAAATGTCTAGAAAATCATGTTAGAGTAAACGTAAAGTTATTTTGTACACTAGTGATCCGCCCCGGTTTCGTACGAGTACTTACATACATACTCATACATAAAAAACTATATGTGTTCTCTTTACAATATTAGTATAGATAAGTAAACTAAAAAGAGAGATGAAAAATCATCAATTACCTACTCTCAGATCAGATAACAAGAATTTACAAATCATTTGATAAATGACGGAGTTATGAGGTGACAAACATAAAAAAATACAATCGAATTAAGAACCTCCTTTTTTGAAGTCGGTTAAAATGAAACGTGTTCGAATACATTACAATATACCGATAACACAGAATGTCCTAATTCGAAGACTATCAGGTAGCGATATGCGTCTTTACTAAAATAACTACTAATTATTCGATTGAGTAATTCATTCGAATTATTCGAATGATCTTCAAATCATTTCACTACAAATATACATATATTCTTTATTGCACTTGTAAATTACATTGTTAATGTATTTATAAATGTTGTGAGCAAGGGTGGACTTATCTCTGACAGAGATCTCTTCCAGTCAACCCAATACATAGCAGCTAATTTTATTCATTCGACTACTTATGTCAGCGGACACTAATATTATTCGATTGTTAATTTCATACAACTACTAATTTCATTCGATCACCAATTTCATTCCCCTACTGATCGCACTGAACGTCCTTTTTTTGTTAATGGACAAGCGTCTAAATTTGTAGATAGATAATTTATTTGCACACAAATAACAACAGATATATACATTAAAAAGAGATAAAAGAATGCATATACAAAAAAAAACTGCTTTTTAATACAATATTTGTAGTTTTTTTTTGGCCATCAATCGTTTTATAAAGATACAGTAAATGGAGAGTGTTAGAAAAAGAACTTTCTTCCCATTGTTAATGGTTTAAATCGAATTACTAATTAGTATTATTATTCGAATATAAAAATTACTATATTACAAATTTATTAGTCGAATTATAAAATTAGTAATTACTAATTAATCGAATATTGAACTCATTTGGATTCCCGTACCGCTATTATCAGGCCATAGTCATGGGGAAACGAATCTGTCTATGACGGTATTATTATGTCAACAGGCGACGGTTACTACGTTTCATCAAGTGAGTTATCAGCTTTATCATCATTACCACTTTTGACAATATGTTAAAATGTAGGTTTATTTATTTATTTATTTATTTATTTATTTATTTATTTATTTATTTAAGGAACACCAATAGCATATTGCATTATAACATAGGTACAATATTAATGCACACGCCTGTTATAGGTATTCACAGCATTCACTTTAACATAGTTATACAGTGCGAGAAAATGAAGTGAATAATAAAAACAAACATGTAACCTAAGTTGTGAGCAATATCAGAAGATACGATTATAAGTGAATTGAATTAAAAAATATTAAAAAATATATATATATATATATATATATATATATATATATATATATATATATATATATATATATATATATATATATATATATATATATATATATATATATATATTAGAGTTAATATTTATTAGATTATTGTACATAGTGTATCAGCAATTTATTCCTGTAGGAATTCGATTTAATACAAGTTTAAAAAGAAGACGCATTTAAGTTATTAGATATACAATACGGCTCGCCATCGACAGGGAGTTCACCCTCATACCTTACAGTCTAAATGGTCGCGTACAACGCGCTTTCAGAGATGCTTTCTCCCACGAACACTCAGGTTATGGAATGAGCTCCCTGCCGAGGTTTTCCCAAGAGACTACAGCATGGGGTTCTTCAAAAGGGGGTAAAGAGGTTTCTTCAGGGTCGGCAACGCGCGCGTAATGCCTCTGGTATTGCAGGCGTTCATAGGCTACGGTAACCGCTTACCATCAGGCGGGCCGTATGCTTGTTTGCCACCTCAGTATAAAAAAATAATATAAAAAATATAATATATCCCCATATGCGAATATAAGATTTTTTTTTATACAACTTATAATGGCACACAAGCTGACGGCCCACCTGATGGAAAGTGGTAACCGTCGCCTATAGACATGAGCAGTACCATGAACATAACAGAGTATGCTGTTTCACCCATGATACCCCCCACGCATTGCCATTCCTAAGGACTCAGATGACACTATACCCTGTAAATTCACGCCATGCACCCTTCAAACTAAAACACACCCATGCAAACACAACTGCTTCACGGTGACAGAGGTACCCAAGCAATCGACTTTCGTACAAAGTCTCCCTCTAGTGAGTTCCATTCTTTAGTTATTGAAAATTTAACTTCTATATCTTTTGGAATAAGAGTCTTGAGTTCCAAATATTATGAATAAAAAAAAAACAAGTTTAATACCTTAAAACAATACGAAGTCTCCTCTCCGTCCCATATCGTCCTGGGTAGGGGAAACTTACGCCTGACCCTGTATTTGCCGACGGCGCCCAACGGCCTCCCTCGCAACCTCTCCGCTTCCATATAGTGCGCTAGACAAGAATATTGTAAAATATTAACACTTTGCACTCCAGCCTAGTAGCCAATAGAGGATACCAATAATTCATTCACTTAACAATAACTTATTATAATATAAACATAATAAACATATCGTGAACACTGTAAGATAGGGAAGGGAAGGGCGGAATAGTTTTAGGAGGAATAGAAGATAGTTTCCAGTAAGGACCACGGGGAGGTTGACCGGACAGGGTATATTTCTAGGAATGGGGCTTGTAGTCCCCATTACTAACAATAATGGTAACCCCCCCCCACCCGCCCGCGCTACGGTATACACCGGCACGTCACCAGTGATAGGTGAGGATAAAACCTGGCCAGTTGGCCCATGGTGAATAATTTCATAAAAATTAACCCCACGATAGTTTCTAATGAGAACCGCGTGGAGGTCGACCTGACAAGTTATATTGCTAGTAATAGGACTATTTGACCCCATTACTAACAATCCTTTTCATTTAATCAGCAGGCGTTCCCAAACTTATTTTGTCTACTGCCCACTTTGAGAATAAATTATTTTTAGCGCTCCCATTTTTTTCACCTACTTAAAAACTCCTGTTACTTCGAAATCAACAAATTACCCCCTAAGCCACTACCCAACGCCCCCATTTTTTTTTTGGATTTCTTACCGCCCCCCTTCAGGCCTGCAGTTGGGCGATAACGCCCCCTACAAGGGGGCGTTATCGCCCACTTTGGGAAAGGCTGATTTAATGCATGAAAGGTACCGTAAACATCACAAGTTTAGAATTAACTACGATAGTTTCCAATAGGATCCGCGTGGAGGTCGGCCTGACATGGTATATTGCTAGTAATGGAGGTGTTAAACCCTATTACTAACAATCCCTTTCCCCCCGCGTCACGTTATTTATAACAAGTAAAAATATTCTGTAACATTTCGAGACATATTTCTAAAGAACGCCTGTTCAAAATTTCATAATTCTAGTTCCGTTAAGTAATTTCGGAACGATTCATATACATTCATTTATTATACACTAGCAGCCCGTCCCGGCTTCGCATGACTTATTTAGGATTATTTTCCAATTTTTGCTTTTCAAAATTTTGGCCCTTTGAAATAGGTGCACAGATATATTTTTGCGAAGGCTCTCTCGCATCTTAAGGTACGCAGTTATGGAGTGGCAAGGCTCAATCGCTTCCCCCTTAAATATGTATTTATGTGTGTGTTGTAATGTTGTGTATACTTGTATGTGTGAATATATCAACTCACCTTTCAACCACAAATTCTGCAATTTCGCATGGTTATGCGCGCTGAATGTGTGAGACTCTAGTAATCTGTACAGCTCCTTGAAATTCCCTCTATGGAAGGCTACCATTGCTTTGGCTTTCAAAACTGATTCGTGGGCGTGAAGCCTCTCGCAAGCGGGCAGAGACCACAGGAACCTTCCCAGCCTGTCGATGTTCCCCGCTTGTTGCAGTACCTGGGAATATAAATTTAACTTAAGATTTTTTTTTTGTACATATTTTTGGGTTCTGTTATTGTTTACATAAACTTGATTTTATGCAAAAATTAGAGAGTGCTGACATCATTCAGTTTTCACAACTTTATGTTAACTACTGCCCGTATCATTTTTCTATATGTGATATACGAGTATATACGACACCCGTGTGGTCCCGGTATAGAACAGGCCACCCCTTCCTTTCCCGTGGGTGTCGTAAGAGGCGACTAAGGGAGGGCGAGGGATGGGCAGCAACATCCTTCTTAAAATATCTCCAAAGCCTAACTGCGGTTGCCAATCCGCCTGCCAAGCGTGACAACTGGCAACTATTGGCAAAGCCCCCTAAGAGGGAGGGTTATGTTCAGCAGTAGACAGTTAAAGGCTGATATGGTAATGATGATGATGAAGATATATAAAACAATAAAAAAACTGGTTGGAACAACTACAAATCTGCATTGTTTTCCTGAACAGCTATGATTGGCAAAATCGCTGTAATGCAATATTTGCAAATAGTAACTACGAGTGTATTTTTTTTTAATGAATGATAATGGAATGGTAACCCCGACCGCGCGATCGGTATACACTGACGGGGCACCAGTGAGGGATGAGGATGAAAAGGCAGGTCAGTTAGCCTATCGTGATGAATAGACCTGGGATTCAGTATGGTAGTTTCCAGATGGCACCATGTGGAGGTCGATCTGACAGGGTAGGTATATTGCTATCAATGGGATTTGAAGTCTGCATTACTAACCATCCTTCAACAGTGGACAGGTAAAGACGGATATGATGATATCAATATTTCTCAAATATTTATCTAAAAGTCAGTGGGGGAGAGGGATTATTAGTAATGGGGACTAGCAGAACAATTGTTAGCAATATACCCTGTCAAGTCAACCTCCCCATGGTCCCCTGGAAACCATCGTGCTGAATTCCAGGTGTATTCATCACAATGGCCTAATTGACTTGCCTTTTCATCCTCATCTATCATCCCTCACTGGTGCCCCGCCAACGTAGACAGCGCAGGCGGGGTTACCATTCCATTATCACGCATTACAAAAAAATCTATCATGGTGATCTTCTATGGAATTCAAAACGATGGACTAACTAAGCTGCTTTCATCCTCACCTATCTATCCTCTCACTGGGGGGAAAAGGGGGTTAGCAACGGGGGTCTAACGCCTCACTCGTTAACGATACCCTATCAGGTCGACTTCCACGCGGTTTCCCCTGGAAATTATCGTGGCTAATGTTGAATTAATTACCAAAGGCCAACTGACCTACTTCATCCTCGCCTATCCCTCGCTGGTGCCCCGGCAGCGTTTACCAATAGATTGCAAGCGGTATTATCATTACATTAGAGCAGCCTTTCCCAAAGTGGGCGATAACGCCCCCTTGTGGGCACTGCAGGCCTAAAGGGGGGCGGTAAGAGACTGAGAAAATAAATGGGAGCATTGTGTAGAGGCGGTGGGGGGTGATTTGTAATTTGAAGTAATAGTGGTTTTTAAGTAGGTGAAAAAATGGGGGTGCTAAAAAATAATTTATTCTCAAAGTGGGCAGTGGACAAAATAAGTTTGAGAACCCCTGCATTAGATGTGCGGTTTGTTATCTCTCTCAGTATACTTGTAGAGGGGAAAGGGATTGTTAGTAAAGGGATCAAATAGCCCCATTACTATCAATATACCCTGTCAGGTCGACCTCCACGTAGTTCCCCCTGGAAACCATAGTGATTAATTGTAGTTGAATTCGTCACGATGGGTTAACTGACCTGCTTTCATTCTCATCAGTCATCTAATACTGGTGCCCCGGGGGGAAAGGAATAGTTAGTAATGGAGACTAAGAATCCCATTGCTAGCAATATACCCAACCAGGTCGACCTCCTCGCGGTTCCCCTGGAAACCATCATGATTAATTCCTGATGAATTCATCATGATGGGCTAACTGGCCTGTTTTCATTCTCATCTATCACCCTTCACTGGTGCTCCGCCAGCGTATCCCGTTAGCGCAGGCGGCGATACCATTCCATTTTATCTCATAAAAAAAATACTGGTGCCCCGCCAGTGTATACCAATAGCGCAGACGGGGTTACCATACCATTATCACTCATTAAAAAAATAAATAAAGAAATAAATAAAAGTATACCTACTTGTAAAGTTTTTTGAAATCCGCTTAGCCGGTTATACATTTTTTGAACATGTTATAAAATTTTACCATTTCACTCCAGCAAGACAAGAACCGTTCCTTCGAATACGCGAATATTTATCCAACCTCGTCGACCTATTGATTTAGGGTGCAAAAAATCAGGCAAACAAGTCAACCGGGAGATGTGCCCATCCTGTATAAATAGTTTATATTTGCGACCACCTATTCTCACATGGTTCGGGACATAGCTAAAAACTAAGATTTTTTTTTATACAACTTAGAATGGCAAACAAGCTGACGGCCCACCTGATGGAAAGTGGTAACCGTCGCCTATAGACATGAGCAGTACCATGAACATAACAGAGTATACTGTTTCGCCCATGATACCCCCCATGCGTTGCCGGTATCATGGGCGAAACAGTACACTCTGTTATGTCCATGGTACTGCTCATGTCTATAGGCGACGGTTACCACTTTTCATCAGGTGGGCCGTTAGCTTATTTGCCATTCTAAGTTGTATAAAAAAAAAAAAAAAAAAAAAAAAAAACAACTGCTTCACGGTAGAAACACGAATGGGACAGAGGTACCCAAGCAATCGACTTTTGTACAAAGTCTCCCTTTGGTAAAATTTCAGAGAACCCCAATGTCGTGATTACCTAAATCTCAAATTTGCCTCGATATTTTCTACGTGTTATTTACCTTGATTTTATTTAATATATTTATAAATTTATATATTAAATCTATAGCTATATATGTATGTGTATTTATGCATTTTTAACCGACTTCAAAATGAAGGTTTCCCAATTCGTTTGTATTTTTGTTTTTGTTTTTTATATCTCATAACTCCGTCAGTTGTAAACAAAAAAAATATATTTTTATTTCAAATTACATACAGATTGCTCCTATGATATTTTTCACAAAATCGGTTCAGAAGTATAGTTTTTAAATTAAAATAACTGGTTTAGCTACAACTAAAGTCAGTTTTTTTTGGACCCAGCCCCGGAGTTTAGTGAAAATTAAAAAAAAACGGTCAAATTGAAATTATTCTCAAATATTGCGTTTAGATCCCCCTTTCACACCCTTGGGAATTTTGTCAATAGATGTCACGCTTGACAGACGGGTTGGCAACCGCAGTTAGACTTCAGTGACGTTTTAACAGGAAATCTGCTGCCCATCCCTGAGCCATTAAGTACCCTTAGTCGCTTCTTACGACATCCACAGGACAGGAAAAGGTCATTCTATGCCGGGACCACACGGAATGTTGACGATTACTTGAGCTATATAAGCATAAAAGCAAATAACTACAAGTAGCAACTGTATTTCCCAATAGATACGATAGGGGGGGAAGGGATTGTTAGTAAGACTAAGGGCCCTATTGCCAGCAATATATCCAACCAGGACGACCTCCCCATGGTCCTCCCTGGAAACCATCGTGCTGAATTCCAGGTGTATTAATCACGATGGGCTAACTAACCTGCCTTTTTCGTTCTCACCTATCATTCCTTTCTGGTGCCCCGCTAGCGTATACCGTTAGCGCAAGCGGGTTTACTATTCTATTATCATACATTAAAAATAGATACGACATTGAAACCTTCAAGAAAAGAGCAAAATCCATCTTAAAAGGCCAACAACACACCTGCAATTATATCGGTGATGAGGGTGTCTATGGGCGGCGGTAGTCACTTACTACTAGCTATTTTTTTTTATACCACTGAGGTGGCAAACAAGCATACGGCCCACCTGATGGTAAGTGGTTACCGTAGCCTATGAACACCTTCAATACCAGAGGTATTACGCGTACGTTGCTGACCCCGAAGAAACCTCTCTACCCCCCTTTTGAAGAACCCCATGCTGTAGTCTCTTGGGAAAACCTCGCCAGGGAGCTCATTCCACAACCTGAAGCTAATATGCCTGCTCGTTTGCTCTTTATGTTATAAAAAAAAACATAAACTAACCCTTCAATTACACTAGGGTATATTTTACCCATTACTTACAGTTTAAAAGGGTCCAAATTGGCGAGTATAATATTTGCATGAGGGGCTTACAGATTACCATCGCGTTAATGGTAATGTCCATTATTATTTAAAAAAAAAAAAAACAGATTCTCTATTACTCTGTTTTTTCTGTGGCTATATTAGGAAATTACGTCGCCAAGTCTGCACTATTTTTTATAATAATTCTTACAGTCGATAGCGTTAATCATATACTAATTTGGTATTTGCTATTTTTGCGTAGCTAGTACATTCTAAAATTTCATAATAATAATAACAACAACTTTATAAGCAATGATTTTGGGTATAAAACATTTGATTTTATAAATTAAAAGTACCTTACAAAATCTACTTAGGTCAAGCGTGCAAATATTGAAAACAAAAATTACAATGATTTAATTTTAAAATTTTTTGTAGCATTTAAACATTACGGAATTATATAATAATAAAATTATATATATATATATATATATATATATATATATATATATATATATATATATATATATATATATATATGTATATCAATAATTACTAGTACCGCATTCGAGTATTCTGCCACTTCCCTATGGTTAACTGGGAGAGAATGCTTTCAGCATTAAGTCCGCCATGTACACATATTTGTACTAATGAATAAATAAATAAAAATATTAATTAAAATATTAAGGAATGCAATACAATTTAATTTTAATTTATTCAGTCGACTGGTTTAAATAGTAGGAATAAATAACAATTGGATATCAGATGGTCAACAATAAAAATGAGATGCACTAATAATATATAAAGAAGTCAATAAGTAGGATATGTCACAAATATAACGATAATACGTACAAATCTCCACCCCTTCAATCCG